TAACTTTTACTTTTTTATATAAATTTACAATAAAGAAAATATTTATTATATACCCTTGTCCCACAGATTAGAAAGACTCATTTCAAAATTATCTCACGGTTTAAAACGCACGAGAGAGACGTAGCCGAACTGCCAAAGAGAAATTAAAGAAGAGCCAATATATGCACTTTACTCTGGTCTGGTCCAAGTGGGTTTGCTTGGTCCCCACTAATATCACGTTTCAATGGACATGGAAATTAGGAAGTGCACCAGGGAAGAAAAGAGCCAAAGCATCACCGCCCCATACATAAATGCGTGCATGTGAGTTTTATGTGAAGACATAGGCATAAAGACAACAGCAACACCAAGCAATTATAAATTAACATCAAACCACGATATACTATCATGTCAACAACAAAACAACAGCAGCGGGTGCAGTAAACAGCAGCATACGATCGGATTCATACATGTCTTTTTACAACCAAAGTACAACAGAATGAAAACCCTATCATACTAAACGAAGATAAGATAGATAGGTAACAACATGATGCTTGAAAGCATGAGTTGGTCCAACTGGCGATGAGTAGGATGGTGATTTCGACGGGGCCACATCATCTAGTTGCTACATGATGAAACAAAGAAGGCTCTTTGCTCATGCCGTTTCCTACATCAAAGAAATGAAAATCCTAGAAGGATAAAAACATGACAAGAATACAAAAGAGGTGGAGAAAGTGAGAACTGGGTCCCAAAACACCTAAGCGGCGTGCACTCAACCTCTTTATGGGGGTCCCTCCAGAATAAGCAGGCTTCACGTTTACACAGCTGACCCTCATGCCCAGCTGTATAAGTGTTACTTTCTCTAAACCCCAAGACACAGACTAATGATTCACCTCCCTTTTTTGGGACATTGATATGCTAACCTCCTCTCCTTTCTATAGAGACCAAAGAGATCACAGGCCACAACAAATGGTTGCCAACTCAATCATTCACAAAGACTGCAGAAAGGGTTCAAGATCTCTCCATCTCAACCATCTTTCCCAATTTACACCCACCAATTTGCTAGAGTTTATTCTATGCAACTCCACACTGCACACAACCATATTTACCTGGCTTATTGTAGACACTCCATTAGAAAACATCTAATGCGAAAGAACTATAAACGGCAAGAACAACTACCAGAACTAGCAAGAAAACTGGCAACTTATGCGGTACCAAGTCCCAAATCTTTTGCCTTGAATCTCAAGGATTTCAAGTAACCAATGGCTTCATCAAGAACCATGATAGCATCTTTGCCTTCTCCATTTGGAATTATGCTACGCAGAAGACACACTGTCTCACGTATTTTTTCTTTTCGCATTCTCTTATTGGCAGATAATGAACTGAGTTCATTGGACTGTGAGATTTTGCCATTGGCACAGCTGGATTCAGCATCATGCTCATACTCACAGGATAGCTTGGGTTTCACAGAAGTTGCAGTGTCCATAAGCAATGGAGCATAATCATTAACCCCGTCAAACAGTTTCCTCTTTTTAGTTGTTCCGCCAGAACTAGCAACCTCTTCAGTACTTCCCTCCAATTGCTCATTGTGAGCTGTCATAGTACTTGGCGAATGACCAGTGCTTGTAGTATCATCATCATCATCATGATCATCAGTATAATTACCATCATCATCAGAGTAAAGCAATGCATTCAGTTCTTCAGTGTCCTCATGCATTTCACTTTGCACATCAGCACCATTTCCATCAAATGCAGCTCCTGATATTGGTCCCAGGTGGAGATTCAGATCTCCTTTAGCCATAGGATGTTCCCCATTTGGATTGTAAGCGCCAAGAGCTTTTGAACTCCAAGGATTCGCGCACTTGACAGGAGTGCCAGAAGCAGGACTGAAAATCAAGGTTGTTTGATCGCCCGATTGATCAAAAACAAGGAATCTCTTCTGAGTGCACCCAGACCCTGCTTTGGGAGCAGTTGCCTCCCCATGATTATCAGAAACATTAGCAAGGAGTTGCTCTTTCAAGATGGGGCTTGAAGCAGGAGTAAATGCCTGCTGAAAGCGGGGTAAACAATAGAACCAACCACGAGGTTCATTAACTTGGCCAACCTGCAAATGTGGCAGCTCAGTATTTGCATAAACCGACAGAGCCCCTGAGGCAGTAGAAACCATATTAGTGTCGGGATTTATAAATTTGGGAATGGTAGTTTGATGCCCCAGAGAAAGAGGAGCAGTTAAAGAACTCAAGTAGGGTGATTGCCAAGTAAATTGCGGCCGAGGAAACCAGGATCCACAGCCTTCTCCCATCCAACCAAAACAATCACCTGGAAAATTAACAAAGAGCCAATATTTCATTCTCACTTCAACAATATAATCCAATTGATAAAATATCGTATTAGAGTTTAGAGCTTACCAGAAGAAATATATAGGTAGCAGAAGAAATGACAGTTCACTTGCAGTTTCTTTCAAGAACAAGGAAAAAAACTAAAAACTCCAGCTTAACTCAGATGAAAAGATGAAAAACTAATCTACGTAACGGGCTTCAGCAAATGACGGAAATATTCAGCCTGGAAAATCCCAAAAAATGAAATCAAAAAAATGCATTGCATAGGCAATCTCAACAATTATCAAGAGAAGAAAAGAACAAAGAATCTCCATGTAAAAGATAGGAGGGAATCCTTTAGGATACAAACACCACAAAACATGGTATCTAATTCTTCAATAAAAGACTTATTCAAAGAGCATAAAAAGGAATATAACATACCTGACAATCCTGAAGGGGTTGAAAGCATGCTATGACTCTAACTACAATGGTGGCGCTCCCTGCAATTCCATTTTCGTGCTTCAATGCCCGGAATCTTGTCCTACATGCTGCTTGGCACACCATCACTACGTCCCAACCCTTCAATATGGCACAAGAAAAGAACAGGATCTTCCAGAGAACAACAAATTCAACGCCCGCAGCCCGTACTACCCAATTCAGCACAAGAATGAGCAGCAGCAACAAGAACAACAGAAAAAAAAAACAAACAAAGCTTTATCACCAAAACAATGAGCGAAACGGGTAACCAAGTGGCTTGGATTGGAAATTTGGAAGATTGGTTTCCTAATGTTCAGCTAATCTGGCGGACATAACATGGAACGACAATAAAGAAAGTGGATCCCATGGAAAACAGAGAGGAGAAACGAAACAGAGAGAATTGAAAGCTCTAGTTAGACAACTTAGACTGGGAAATTACAGAATCACTTTGCAATAAAGGTTCAAGGAGATAACTTTTCGAAACACATCAACAGAAAGACTCAACCACCACCGCATACTGTTTCTTATCCGCCGAATATCGCCACGGTTTCCCTTTCTTGTATCTCCCTGTTCACCAACCCTGAAACAGATTCCTCTCACATCAGAGACTTCTCTTCTGAATTGAATTCGGATTACACAGTTTAATTTCAGAGAAGAAAAAAAAAGGTAAACCAGAAATTTAATGTTTGAAATAACATTTAGAACATTAGATCTGTCTGTCGGACTGTAAGACCGGATTTTCCTCAAATTCACGATGGAAATGAACAAATTGAGCATCAAATTTAAGAAGAAAAAAAAAACTACCTACAGTTACCAAAACATACAGGAATCATAACACTAAGAGGAAGAACGACAGAGAAAACTAAATTGAACAGAACAAAATTGATTTTGAAGGAACAGAACAGAAAATGGAAAGGAAGAAGGTCTCAGTGAATCGAAGAAGTTCAGAACTTACAGAGAAAGCTGAGAGGAGAAATAAACCCAAATCCAAATCGAAGGAGGAAATCCAAAGAAGACGGTACTCCAATCCACGAGCTCCTCAGAGAAACTCCAGAGGGTGTTTTACAGAGAGAAAGGGTGTCCAGAGAGTGGAGTCAAGGTAGAGAGAATGGACGGAAGGGGAGGCTATATAAGAGGACAAATTGACGGAAATGTCCTCGAAGTTGAACCTGAAAAATTAAATTAAAAAAAGAAAAAAAAGGTAAAATCAAGCCATTCTCATATTAAAAATGTTAAAAATTTAATAATAATCATATAATAAATTTATTAAAATTAAAATTTATATTATATTTTATTTATTTAATAATGATAATTAAATATTTAATATTTTTAATATTAGAATATTTTTTTTCTTAATAATAAAATAAAGAAAAAAGAAGTAATCGGCACGATAAAAAGTGGGAAACGTGCGCGGTAGAGGGAGAGAGAGAGAGAGGAGTGGGGAAAGCACGCCACGCAAGGCATTAGTGAAGAATGATGGAGAACAGTTCGAGTCCGTGTGGTGAGGTGGACCCGCGGGTGGTTTTATCATGACATTCGGCCCTTGGTTTGGCTGTGGGGGCTGGGTTGGCTTGGGTTACTCCTACGGTTCGAACCAAACCATGCATACATCATGCCGTTACTTTTTCCAATTTCCTAAAATAGCCCCCGGCTTTTGTTGAAATGAAAACGTGTTTCATAGTCTATTGGCAAAACCATAAGTTAAGCCCCTGAACTAACCCCAGAATCGCCATTAAACCCCTAGACTTTAATTGATGCAGTTAAGCCCTTAAACTCTGGGATCAAAGCAATTAAACCCTTCTTCTTAAGCAAATTTATTTTAAAAATTAAAGTCTAAGGGTTTAATAGCGTAAGCAGAAGGGCTTAATTGCTTTGATCCCAGAGTTCAAGGGCTTAACTGCATCAATTAAAGTCTAGGGGCTTAATAGCGATTCTGGGGTTAGTTCAGGGGCTTAACTTATGGTTTTGCCTAGTCTATTTCCCCATTTACGTCTTGAGATTTAAACGTGCGAAGGAGGTGTTATGTAATTTAAATTATATATTAAATTATATAATATAAATTATTAAATAAGATAGATTTATTAATATTAAAAATTATTTTTTATTTAATATTTTTATTTTAAAATTTAATATAATTTAAATTATAAAATTGGAGAATTATAAATATATAATTTGTATAGTTTTCAATATTTATTTCAAATATGATATTATCAAATTTAATGTCCCGTATAAAATGTCACAACGACCACAGCTCCTTACACAAATTAAAAGGCAAGGGAATTTTGCTTTTATCTACATGATCCTAAAGTACCACTTATTCCATGAGTTGGAGTAAAAAGTACTTGTTCAACCAAAAGAGGATAACAAAAGGGAGGAGTATTCGATCGGAGGAGGTCTTTTAAACTTGGGGAAAGATGCAAAGAGGGCAAAACCTACCTTTGCTAAAGGAGAGGAAAAGTACCCAAAAATTTTTGAAGATGGTAAGATACAAAAGGAAAAGGGGGTGGTATCCTACTTTTAACATGAACACCAATAATTTTGTAGCTTGACCGTTCAAAGAATGAATCATAGAAAGATGATGGGACCGCAACTTATGACCATTAGGAGCATGATTTTGGGGCAGTAAATCTCATGTTATCTATCTTATCTGTTCCAATATCAAAAACTTTGCTTTAGTAAATAATTGAAGGTAAAAAGAGGTTATAGAAGATGGCCCTCCAATGGAGTACAATTATACTTTTCATTGATGTCATATACGGATGCCGCCTAACCATCAAAATGGCCATCAATGTATGGCCCAATCTTGCTCCATTCATATGATCATATATTTCATTGCTTATTAACCAATCAGCACTTTACATGCATATATAATACAATTTATAAATTGAAATTATTTATTTGTATACTCAAAAGCTCGAACTTATAACCTTGAAGTACTATACCAATATTTTATTATCTTTATGTTAGGTACATGGTTTTTGATGAAGAATATGACCTAACAATAAACTTAATAGAGCTCGATTATTTGTTTAGTTTTGAATTTTAATCCAAAGAAATGAATGTCGACATTTTCCCTAAAGAACCCAGATCAAATAGAATCTAAACAAGAACATCAATAAAATTTAAAAGAAAGCATTAAAAATTTAAAATAATAAAAGCATGCAATGATTATATATGTCAATTAGTCACCAGGGTATGGTGGATGGTTCTTCTTCCACCAAAATGAATAAAATAAAGCAAAAGAGGACGACCCATGATTTATCAGCTGAAAGAGATCTCTAGGCACAGGCCAAGAAGATACCCTCATATGGTTTAATTATTTTATAATTAAGTTATGCAACTACTTTTAATTGTGTGTTTGATACTTTAATTAAAGAATGGATAACTTTCATGCCCTCTTGTTTGGAGTGGAGGGAACAATAGGCCACGCCCCCAATCAAAGTCCCTCTTCTCCCAAATCCAATTGGGTCTTCCCTTTTGGTGGCACTAAAACAAATTCTTCCATTTACAATGTGTGATGCAAAGCAAAAATATGATGTCTTCCCCTTTTCGACATCTTACCTTCATAATCACCATATATACATGCTAATCTAGAGATAATTTTATTTTTTATATAGAAAAGTGGTATTATGTTTAATAATTTATCTTAGTACGTTATTAAATTTAATAATAATAATTTATATAAAATTTAAATGTAATAATCGAGTACATAATAAGACCCCTAATGGTGGCAGTGGAATAGTGGAATGGAATGACCACTAAAGGTCTCGTGTTTATTTCCTCTATATGCCAAGAAAATATGGATGATTCTGTGCAAGGCACAATCACAAGAATACTTCCTAAGTGGACCTTCCACGTTCTCCAATTGCGTTGTCGATTTTTTTGTTTTTTTTTTTTTTCCTTTGGATTTCATTTCATGTATTAAGAAAATTTCTATTTCTCCCCAGTAATGCTTTTACAAAGCCGAAAGTGGGGAAAAACAAAAAGTCAGACGTGCTCCAGAAAAACCTTTCTTTGTTTTTCCTCGCAATACTTCAACAAATTAATTTCCATGTTTTCTCCCACTAAATCTTGTTTACCTCCTTTCTCCATGTTTGAAATTTTCCTTTTGTTTCCCAGGAAAACGAAGGGGAAAATGGAGCTGTTGTGGTGGGGAAGAGTGGGACATGAAGCCATGGAGCCATTCGATTATGGATTCTCCAACAAAACATCCCACGCTTGGAAAGCTTTCCGCACTGATCAAGAAATTTCCTCTTTATTTTTTTCTTTTTTCTTTGCAAAATTCTCATTAACCAATGCAATATAAAAGGAATCAATCCATGGTTTCTTAATTTCTTTGGCAATATTTTTTTAATGACACGTAGAGTACTCACTTTCTTAGACCCTTGTTGCACTTTGCTAAGTTTGCTTTAATATTCATCCTCATAATTTACCAAAAAGAAAGGGGGAATTGGAAAGTGTCAACTGTTCCTCATACTTTTGTGATTTATCTTTTATTTTATAGGACTTGTTAATATGGGTTTCATTAATTACTTTTGATTATTATCAAAAAAAAAAAACAAAAACATTTGATTGGGAGGGTAATTAGTTTGAACTTCCATCATCACACACGTGCAGTTCGCACGCTTGGAATTTCTATGACAACACCCACTATTTTTTTTTCGGAATTCATACGAAGACAATGCTCATGGTTAATTTGTTCTTCAAAAACGGGGTCTCTCAATTTTCCCTTTATTTTTTAAGGCAAAATCGTACATTGCACATCTGAATTTATTTTAAATTCTTGATTAAATCTCTGAACTTTTACTTAATTAAATAAGTTCTTGAATTTGTTCAATAGAGCAATTTAACTTTTTTCCTTATGGTAAATTTAACATCTGATTGTATCTTATTTATATCTTATTTGTATGAATAACTCATTATCTATTATATATGTAATGACATGTTAATATCTTATTCATACAAATAATACACAAATATACATTAAATCCATATAAAAGAAAGGTAAAATTACCCAAATTATCAAATTTAAAAATTTATTTACTCCAATAAAAATTTAGGTGCTTAATTAATAATCTATGATAAATTTAAGGGTTTAATATAGAGTTTTACCTATTTTTTAAGATTTTCTTGGTTTTATACTCAAAGCTAGTGTTATTAACTACGATGAATTGGGGTATTCAATCATTATTTTTTTCAGCAGTCCAATATGGTTGGTATTGGGTTGGATTGTAAAAAATTTCTAAAGACACAAAAATATTAAGCATCTATTATGCAAAATATCTTTTTCTTTTTTATCAACTATTATGCAAAATTTCTAAACTCACTTAAATAGATCTCTAATTAACTTTGAAAAATACATTATGACCAAACCCCCTTAACAAAAAAAATATATATGTAATTATGAGAAATTAACACAGTTGTACATACTACATACAAATACATATATAGATTATATCTATTATGCAAAGTACCCATAAAATAAAAAATAAAAAATCATACCGACATAAGATGAGATTCATACCCACTAACTTTTAATGTTGTGAGGCCTTAACCTTAATTTCCACTACATTAAAACCCTCATTAACAATTATAGCACTAATTAGAGAAATGTTAATGAAATGATGATTAGTACAAATGTGATTAATGTACCGTTGACAATCGTGTGGTCCATTTATAAGTAAATACGAGGGCATTATATTAACTAAATCCCCTATAATGCTGCTGTTCTCCCGCATTAGTCTTCTTTACATGCCACAAAAGTTAGGAAAAGGGACATTTTTATTAAGCACTTTGAATATGATGGACAAACTCTTTTTTTTATTGGGGTTAATTTTAGATTGTAAGGTCAATTATATCGATCCACTTATAACAATAAAGTAATTATAATGTTGACTTTAAAACTATTGTCTTATTGCACACATAAAAAATCAATCCCCATTCCCACGTATGAATCATGAGATCTAGTGCTCATATTGCAATGTTCCTTTGTTAATTAATTAGTTCTGATGCATGCTTTTGGTGGAAAAGGTTAAGACTTTTGGGTTAGGTTAGACCACCATTCATTAAAGTAAATTAATTTCACAAGAATGCCTAGTTATAATTGTGGTTAGTTCAAAAAGAACGAAGTGATGCTGATCATTGTCAACAATATTTGAAGTAGCTACATGAAAAAGAACCACATTCATAATTAGGCTTGTTCTCTCGTTGGTGAATTATGCAAATATGGTTATGGTCATTTATTATTTT